CTGACCCTCCTCCCTCTCATGCTCTCTGTCTTTCATTCTCTCTCTCTCAAATAAATAAATAAAATCTTTAAAAAAAAAAAAGAAGTGATTTTCCCATAAAAATATGATTTATGTTAGCACGTAAGGTTTCATTGCTATTAAATTGACTAACGAGTTTTTTCCATTGCTTTAATTTCTAATGGAGTAAGTGTCGATAGATATAACCTACATTAAAAAAAGCAAAAGGGTCCTGAAGCCAAAAAACCGGAGATCTGCTGTTCTGGACAAATGATGCGGCTGTCCTTGAGCACAAGGTCAGACGAAACGCACCCCCATCACTCTACCCCGACAGGCGGAGGAGGAGCCGGACAGAAAGCCTACTTCAGCAAAATCCTTCCCCCCGGCCGCCATATCCACAGACCACCTTACTCCCACGAACTTCCTCTTCTTCCTGCGCCGGCACCGTGGCGGGGGGCGATTTGGAGACCACAGCTCGCTTTGGGGGCAGGTGGGGCGGGGCCAGAGGGTGGGCGGGGCCTCGATGGGCGGGGCGTCGGCGCCCGTGCGAAACACGCCGCAGAGGCCCTCGCGGAAGAGCGCAAACCCCCCCCCCCCGCAGGGCATCCTGGGGTCCGGTCTCGCCCAATGAGGTGCGGGCTACGTCACAAGGGCGCCCCTTCCGGGCGGCCTGGCCTCGCAGAGCGCTCGGGCCCGTGCCCCGGGGGCAGCCAGCAACACCCCTCGTCGTGCCAGTGGCCCGCGGGCCGTGCTGGGCCTTCCGCCATGGTGGACTACTACGAGGTGCTGGGCGTGCCCCGTCAGGCGTCGTCCGAGGCCATCAAGAAAGCATATCGCAAGCTGGCGCTCAGGTGGCACCCCGACAAAAACCCTGAGAACAAGGAGGAGGCGGAGAGGCGGTTCAAGCAAGTGGCCCAGGCCTACGAGGTCTTGTCAGATGCCAAGAAGAGGGACGTGTACGACCGGTATGGCGAGGCGGGAGTGGAGGACGGCGGCGGGGGCGGCGGGCCCTGCCGCCACCCCTTCGAGTACGTCTTCACCTTCCGCGACCCGGCTGAGGTCTTCAGGGAGTTCTTCGGGGGCCGCGACCCGTTTTCGTTCGACTTCTTCGGAGACCCACTAGAGAACATCGTGGGCGGTCGGAGGAGCTCCCGGGGAAGCAGAAGCAGAGGAACCACTCCCTTCTTCTCGGCCTTCAGTGGATTTCCAGCATTTGGGGGTGGTTTTTCTTCTTTTGATACAGGATTTAGTTCCTTTGGTTCCCTGGGGAGCGGAGGCCTTTCTTCCTTCTCCATGTCTTGTGGTAGTGGTGGGTCCAGCAACTTCAAATCCATGTCGACTTCCACCGAAATCGTTAATGGCAAAAAAGTCACCACCAAGAGAATCATTGAGAATGGCCAAGAAAGAGTGGAGGTGGAAGAAGATGGAGAGTTAAAGTCCCTGGTAATAAATGGCAAAGAGCAGTTGCTGCGCATTGACACCAAGTAATTCCAGTCCACTTTAATGTAGAGCACATTGTGAGGAATTGGACTTTTTTTTTTTTGAAGATTACAAGGGAACTCTACTTTCAGAACAACTGTTGTCAAGAATTTATAAACAGTCATGCCAGTGCCTATTTGTTGTTATTGTTGGGACTACACGAATAGGACCTCTGTTTGTCTTTAAAACTGTTGTAAATATCTGTGTGCACTTTGCTTTTTATTAAACATAATCCCGAGGCAGACAGTGATTATTTCTTAGTACTAGGACAAAATGTTACAGCACCTTGAACCTTGCCTTTCCATTTTGTTTGAAATGTCAGCCAGGTGGTTTTCTCTGAAGTTAACGTTGCCAAGATAAATCGTTTTACTTCAATTTTTTTCAACACATAATAGTAAAAGATGTGAATACACTAATACTTCTGGCTTAAGGATGGGTTTTAGTCCCACATAAATGCTGGTGACTAGTGAGAATTTTCCGTTTAAATATAATAAGCCTAGGCTTTTTAAAAAAGCGTAAACCTGGCAAAGTGGGTGTATTCATTTCCTATGGCTACTGTAACAAATTACCACAAATTTGGTGGTTTAAAACAATGCAGATTTATTCTCTTAACGATCTGGAGGTCAGAAGTCTGAAATCCCTTTCAGGGGACTGAAAATGTAAGCAGGAACATGTTCCCTCCAAAGGCTTGAGCAAAATACTTAAGTGAATTACTCACAGTTACATGATTAGTTAAGAGCATCCTGTGGACTTTATTCAGGTTAAAAAAAAAAAAAAAGAATAAAAAAAGGTAGTGATAACTCAAAACCTTAATACAAATCTGATTGCTAGCCTGTACCCAACTTGGTTCTACAACTATGATTGATGAAAATGTGGAAAGTGTTTCTGTAAGACTACACAAAACTATCCCATTGCCGCGTGCAGGATGTATCTCATTTCAAATTAGGTTGACAAAAGCCAAGAATATTGGAAAGCTTGGAGTACAGATTGGGTGAGGCAGCGTACATCTGAGAGAGTACATTTCTGTTGTGCACAGTTTATACCCCCAGTGAAAACCATTTTGGGCATGGTTGCCTTGGGATGGTCCATCACAAATTGTGCCATCCCCTTTGGTCATGTCTAAGGAAAAGTTTGCGTAAGGCATGGGAGCAAAAAGGAAGCTGAACTAGACAGACTAAAAATGCAGCATATTCTTTACAGGAAGGTCGTGTGACTTGAGCGCACTGTTTAACTAGGAATACATGAAATTGAATTTGATGCCTGTAAAGTCCAATCCCCATGGAATGGCATGCGAACAATTATGCAGCAGGGACATAGGATTCAGCCACTACTGTCCCACGAGGGCACACAGTCTGTTAAAACTACATCAAATGGTCACTGAGGTACCCAGGCAGTGCTTCTCACCCACTAACTGTACAAGAAGTATCAGAATAAAACAGTACTGGGGCTTTTAAAAAATCAGTTCATTTCCTTGCTAGGCTAGGGAACTCAGACCAATGAAGATATTCATAGTTGTTGGTGGGGAGGGGAGGAGGAGTAGGGAGAGAAGGGATGTCAAGAGTTTTGAAGTGATAGAAAAGAGGGTGCACAATTTCATGGTGATTATGCTAATTAAGGGTTAAAAATCACCACTCTGTATGGGACAGAATAAGTGCATTTGTGTCTATCCAATTGGTTAACATAAGTCTCCATTGGTCAGGAAAGTCTTCAAGTTGGGCCCAGTAAGACTGGCGTACGGGGGTCACTCAGAAGTCATGGATCTTAACAGCTCTAGTGGAAGCAACCCACAAGTCAATGGATGAATATATAAGCAAATGTGGTCAATCCATACAATGGAATATTATTCAGCCTTTAAAAGTAAGGAAACTCTGCAACATGAACGAGCCTTGAGGACATTAGGCTAAGTGAAATAAGTCAGTCGAAAAAAGACAAATACTCTGATTCCATTTATATAAGGTACCTAGAGTGGTCAAGTTAGTGAAGACAGTAGATTGCAGGTTGCCAGGGGTTTTAACAGCATTTGTTGAAACAAACAGCATTCAGTTAGAGATCTGGATTAGTGCTGCTGAGTGGAAAGTTTCTCTTTTACAGAAACATAAAGCATTTTATCTAAAGAATTTTCAAAACTGAAAACTGCTTTTAAAAAATGTCTTGGCTCCAGGGGCGCCTGGGTGGTTCAGTTGGTTAAGCAACTGCCTTCGGCTCAGGTCATGATCCTGGAGTCCCTGGATCGAGTACGGCATCGGGCTCCCTGCTCAGCAGGGAGTCTGCTTCTCCCTCTGACCCTCCCCCCTCTCATGCTCTCTCTCTCTCATTCTGTCTCTCAAATAAATAAATAAAATCTTAAAAAAAAAATGTCTTGGCTCCAAAATCACAGTCCTGTATATCAGTATTCCTCATTTATGGAATAGCTTGAGTAGGCTTTCAGAGTAGAGAAACCAGCACTTTCTCTGGTGCAAAGATGACCATCTGGAGGACCCTGCAGTGGACTCTCTCCAAGGACTCACTAGCCCCTTCCCATGGAGCACACAGTTAAATAAGGAAGTAGTGTAAGACATCATTTTAAGAATTGGGCATATTGAGGTTTTTTAAATAAAATTTTTAAATATGCATTTTTTAGGGGTATCTATGGAACATTTACAAATGTTAATCATATCTTATCCAATACAGTAGCCACTAGCTACATGTGACTACTGAGCACTTAAAATGTGGCCAGTCCAAATTGAGATATGCTGTAAGTGTAAAATACATATCAGATTTTGAAGACTTAGTATGAAAGCAAAAGAATATAAAATGTCTCAATAATTTTATATTGAGTATATGTTGAAAGTATGTTTAGATATATTGGATTAAGATATAATTAATTTTAGCCCTCTTTTTGCCTTTTTTGTAACATGTCTACTAATTTTTTTAATTATATATATGGCCTGCATTATACTTCCATTGGGCAATTCTGTACTGGACCACAAAGAAAACCTATCAAATTATTTAATGTAGGGATTTCATAAGAAACATTCTCTGATTAAAACCTAAAATAATTAGAAAAAAAATAAGAGAGAGATAGCTAAAATAAATTTTAACTATGTGGGAATAAACAGGTTTGAAGATAGCCATGGACTTAAAGAAAGCCAAACCAGAAAATTAAATGACCAAAAACAAAACAAAAGAAAGAAAAAAATATGATTAATGCCAAAACCTAGGAGACCTAGAAAGTGTCCTATGAACTTCAATGTTTCATTATTAAGAAAACTCTTACAGAAAGGAACTTAATGCTTACCTAAGGAAAATTAGAAAAATAACTATAAAATAAACCAAAAGACACAAGAATGACAATCATTAATAAAAAGCAAGCTGGGATTAATGAAATAGAAAACAAAAATAGTAAAAAGAATAAGCAATTCCCAAAATTATTTCTTTGAGAAAACCAGTAAAATAATTTCACCCATCATAAAAAAATTTTTTTAAGTAGACTCCATGCTCAGCGTGGAGCCCAACGTGAGGCTTCAATTCACGACCCTGATATCAAGACCTTAGCTGAGATCAAGAGTCGGATGCTTAACTGACTGAGCCACCCAGGTGCCCCGAACCCATCATAAATCTTAAAGAAGAAAGAAAAGGAGCAAAAATATGAAAGACTTAGGCTTTGATCTTTCATACGTGGAGAAAATTTCCATAAGCTACTTAAAAGAAGTCACATTTAAGGGTAAACCAAACCAAATAAATAAGAGTGACAAGACCTCAAAGTAAAAAAAAATGTAGTGGAATAAAAGTGATAATGGTATGCCTATCACATATAATACTTGAGAATTTCAGTATAAACGATCTCTCGTGTACCCAATAAATTTGGCACAAACATATCTAAAGGTCTTCAGATGACATACCTTGTCCTGCTGGGCACTTTTTAAATAATGATAATAGAAAATACTTATTGTGTACTCATTGTGACAATAGTGAGGCCCGAATAGTTAGGTCACTTGCTCACCTGCCCATTCAGCTAGAAAAATGGGAGTGAGAATTTGAAACAGTGCAGTTAACTCCAGAGAATATATTCACGTAGGAAAACTAAAAGATGCAGCCACTCTGGAAAACAGTATGGAGTTTCCTCAAAAAGTTAAAAATAGAACTACCTTACAATCCAGCAATCGCACTACTAGATATTTACCTAAAGAATACAAAAGTACTAATTTGAAGGGAATCCATGCACCCTGATGTTTATAGCAGCATAATCTACAAAAGCCAAATTATGGAAAGAGCCCCAATGTCCATCAATAGAATAGATGATAAAATAAAGTAGGTGAATGGATAAAGACGTGGTATAGGGGCGCCTGGGTGGCGCAGTAGGTTAAGCGTCCAACTCTTGATTTCTCCTCCTAACATCCCCTTCCCCTTTTAGACTCTGTTCTCTTCATCACTGCCCGCCCCCTTCACTGGGTTTATAGGCTCATAGTTTGATCTTCCAAGTCCCTCCCACCATCCTTCGATGACTTCAGCATCCTAAGTATAAGACCTATCCAACCTGCAATCCAACTCGGATTGTCCCCATGTTATATCCCTGACATCAACTCCTGGTCAGAAAACTTGTCAGCACAGCTCCATCTCTGAAAAGTTGAACTCACTTACTTCTTTCTTGGACCACACAGACCCCTTCTTATCTCTTCCACATTGTCTCACTTCCACTTAATTTATTCAAGCTCTCTGACACGTCTGCTTCCTTTTGGTGTTTAGATCTCCTGTGATCAGATCACACTCCAGTCCCTTCCGAGACAGGGCCACTAAAAACTATCGTGTCAACAAACGCAATTTGCTGGTTCCTTTGTCCTTCTCCTCAACAAGCAAACACCCCACAAGCAAAAACCCCTGATGGATCAGCTCACAACTCAGCATCCCTGCTCCTACACAGTCGGAGAAAATTGCACAACCACAAAAAAGGTGCCTTTACGAAAGGACAGTCTTGGTTGACTCACAACAGTGCTTGTCAATCCTATCACAGACCGGCACCCCTGCCTCTCATTTCTTTTGGTGACCATTGCAAACCTTTACTGCCCTAGTGGAGGTACTTTAACGTTTATCTCACCGAACTGTTAGGAGAATGAGAGGTAGAAATCTCAGAAAGACTGGCAGATAAGTAAGCACGTGGAAGTAAATTAAAAACAAAAACAACAACAACCAAAAAAAAAAAAAAAAAAACGTGTTCCACCTGGAACATTGATTGGACATAAGCACCAATACAGACCTGAGACAATG